TGTTTTTAGCTTTCTTCCTGTATGGGAAGCTTTTTCAAAATTTGAAACATTAGTGCAGTGGTTTATGTTCAAATAAACCTTTGGGTTAAGTTATTGCAAGCAGGTTTTTCTTGTGTTTCTTGTGAATTTGGTCTTAAATTTTTATTTCAAGTGGCATTAAAAAGTCTTTAATTGAACTTGCCTTATGCTGTAGGAACCCTGTAAGGTCTTAATTGGCATTAAAATTCATTAAATGTGATTATCGTGGCATTTAAAATGCTTTAGTTTTTTCAGATATAAATGGTTCTGAGTGTTTGCGCTGAACTGCTTCCGGTTTATCGTAAAACTGTGTGTTCGGAAAAGAAGCTTGATGCAGAGAAAAGGCTAGAGAATGGGGAAATGCTAATTTCAACAAAAGTGGCTGGAAAAGAGGAATTCAGGACATTGCTGCAGCCCGTCGACGGTAAAGATGAAGAAGCATTTTTTAAAATATATATATATGTATTTTAAAATGATTTCTAAGAGCATTAAAAAGCATTAAATAAGAGTTACTCATTCCTGTATAAACCCCGAGAAAATTTGTTTTTCAGAGACTCCAGCAGCATATGGGATGGCCATGTGGACACATTCATCCTGTTCATTTTGCACGTTTTCTAAGCCTAAACAACACTTTGTTTTGGGCCACTCTATAAGCCTCGAACTCAACGCTATTTCTGACATTTTAAATGGAAAAAGCTTCCAGGATGGAAAGCAAAACATCTGCAAACTTGGAAACAAAGTCCAGTGGACTGTTTTTTTTTTTTTTTTTTTAACATTTTTGTAATGACTATGACCTCACCCGCTTAAAAAATATGTAGATCATAAACCCTTCAATTCCAGTGAAACATTGTAGTCGTGCTTCTAAGGTGACAAGATGTCAGGTGGGGGTGGTGGGTTAATTTGTCTTTATTTTTAAATCCAGTTGCAGCAGCATTAATGAAAACCTGTATGTCACAATAACTGACCCCAAAAGCTGGTTTCTGTTTTCCTCCTTTAGGTGGAGGAGCACCGCACAACTCAGAAACAGATGAGGGCGCTCCAGAAGAAGCAGAACCAGCTGGTGCAAGAGAAGGACAACCTGAGAAACGAACACAGCAAGGCCATCCTGGCCCGCAGCAAGCTGGAGAGCCTCTGCAGGGAGCTGCAGAGACACAACCGCACCCTGAAGGTACGAACCGCGTCAACCTGCTGAAACCACTTGATCTGAAACGCCGATGTGTCTCATTATGGGCTGAAATGTTCCCCACCGCAGGAGGAAGGAATCCAGAGAACCAGATTAGAGGAGGAGAAAAGGAAGGAGGTGACGTCTCACTTCCAGTCGACCCTGAATGACATCCAGGCTCAGATGGAGCAGCACAACGAGAGGAACTCCAGCCTCCGGCAGGAGAACGCCGAGCTGGGAGACAAACTCAAGAAGCTTTACGAACAGTACAAACTACGGGAAGAGGTGAGCGGGAACTCCCCCTTATACCAACATTTATCGGAATTATCCAACGTTCACACCGCACGCAATAGAAGCAGCACAAGCAGCTGGTTTACATGCAAAGTCAATGGTTGGCGCGCATCAAAAGGTCCTGCGGTGCGGCTAGAGCAGCAGGAGCAGCGCATCTTGATGCATCTGAGTATCTAAGGTGTGGGACACGCCTCACAGGCAGCAGGTGTCAGGGTTGGAGAAAGTAAACTTTGGCTGCTCTATAACCAATCAGAGAAGCTGATCTGGGAGTTGGCAGGGAGACAGACGGGGCACTGCTGATGCAGAGAACTATGATCACTCACCTAAAACAGTTTATTAACGCCTCAATTAACTTAAAATGTTCAGCCCCCACAGCCATCAGTAGGGGAAAACCCCCAAGAGGTAACCCAGCCGCTGGGGATTCCCGGTAACGGGGTATGTGACGTTCTGAGCACCTCCGACAGCAATAGAATATTTTAAGACAAGATCGTAATCTTGATGAACTGACTGCACAGATCATGTTTTGATTTGTTAGTTTCTGCATAAAAACACGTTAAAACGAACTTTTACCAGCTTATCCAAGCAAATATAGCAAAGCCGCTCTCTGCTATTGAATACAGAAGCATCAGGCGCGTCTGGAAACACTTTACTGGACGCGCTTCAGGAGCATCTAAGATGCTCTTGAGGTGTGTCTGACCTTAATGTGAAAAAGCATCAAAAATGAAGCAGCAGGTGCTTCTTTTGCTGCCCAAAGCGCGTCCGGTGTGAACCTAGCATTACTCCATTTTACTAAAATGAATTTCCTCTGTTTGTGTGACATCAAACAGCACATAGACAAAGTGGTGAAGCATAAAGACCTGCAGCAACAGCTGGTGGACGCAAAGCTGCACCAGGCGCAGGAGCTGCTGAAGGAGTCAGAGGAACGGCACGACAGAGAGAAGGACTTTGTAAGCATCGAGACGGAACCCGTTCAGATGGTTCTCCCAGATGTTAAACTGCTCCTCCTCTCTTGTTTTTCCCTCTGCAGCTGCTGAAAGAAGCTGTGGAGTCCCAGAGGATGTGCGAGTTGATGAAGCAGCAGGAGGTCCACCTCAAACAGCAGGTTGGCTTTTCACATTTTCAGCTCAAACTGGTTGCAATAAAACTTTGTGATCCTCCTAAAATGACGGTTGTATCGTGTTTTTTTTTTTTTTTAGCTGTCTTTATACACAGAGAAGTTTGAGGAGTTTCAGACGACGCTGTCCAAAAGCAACGAAGTCTTCACCACCTTCAAACAGGAGATGGAGAAGGTGGGCGGTGTTAGTGGACGCACTGTCTGGGTCGGCTTCGCCTTTCTCTGACATCTTTGCTTTTCTCCGTGCTCACAGATGACCAAAAAGATCAAAAAGCTGGAGAAGGAAACGGCGATGTACCGCTCGAGGTGGGAGAGCAGCAACAAGGCTCTGCTAGAGATGGCTGAGGAGGTAAAGCTCTGTCTTTGTTGCATTATTCTTATCAAACCTTATCCTTACCTCCAGAACAATGAAAAGAAGCTGAAGGATCACTGCGCTCTGAGGCCCAGATAATGTCTGTTGGTGGTTTTAGGGTTTACATTGTACGCCCTGGGAAGTTTCTCCCTTTGAAACTTCACTATAATGATCAAAATTTCACAAGCAGCAGATGCTAGAGTTGGAAAAATTGAACTTTTGCTGCTCAATGCGCCACGTCAACCAATCAGAGATGCTGATCTACTAGCTGGCAGGGAAACAGACACAATTTCGCTTTTATTATTTTGGTGCCTGCAGTTTGTACTTGATAATAGATACTTGAAATAAGACATTGCAATTGTGTTTTCTTATTTTAAATCTGAATCGTCTTGTTCCATTGAAAAAATTTCTCTTATCTCCTCAAATCAAGAAAAAATGCACTTATTTTAAGAAAAAATGACTGATCTAGATTAGATTTTTTTTCCAGTGTATTGCTTCTAGAAAAAGCAATAATGTTGTTTTGTTGGTGTCTCAAAAACAAGCCGATTAAAAAATCTCCTGATACATCATCAAAAATACCAATTATTGGTTTTCTATCTCCTCAGACTGAAGTTATAACGGTTGAACTCTGGAAAGTAGAGAAGCCTTCAGATGATTCTGGTTTGCTGTGTTTTTAGGATACTGATGTATTTTGTTCTGATTTTTGCTTATTTTAGGAAAACATTTGGTGAAAGATTCAGGGTCCCTTCGAGGCGTCTGATGCTTCAGAATTCCAGGCTGAGCTCAGAGGAACAAAAGCTGTTTTTGACTAAAGTCTTTTTCTTGTTTCCCTGCAGAAAGCTGTGCGGGATCGGGACTTCGAGGCCCTTCAGGGTAAAGTCCAGCGGCTCGACAAGCTGCGCCGGGCGCTGAAAGTGGAGCGAAACGAGCTGAAGAAGAAGGTCCAGAACCTGAGCGGGGATACCGCCGGCATCCCTGGAGCTCCCGGGTCAGATCCCGGGACCGAGTCTCCCTCACCCCCACCCACAGACTCTCTGCTGGAGGAGCCCAGCAGCTGTCCTGCCCCCGACGCCACTTCCTGCTTCCACTGCAGCCCACAGCTGGACACAGACGCCCTACAGGGAGACGCAAACTCTCCGCCTGTTCCTGCTCAGGAATGAAGCAGAGCCACTCCCTCTTTCCTCCCTCGCCTCCACGTTCAAACCACCAGCTTGCACGCCGTTCCTCCTCCTCCTCCTCAGGAGGGACACCAGGCGTTAGCGGCAGAGAACGGGCTTTCCACTTTACACACAGACTGAATCAGCAATCCCTCCTGAAAGGATTCAGCAAAGCATTTAATAGAGTTTGATTTCCTGCAGAAATGAAACTACTGTGATTTATTTAACACTTGAGGAACACAGGAAGTGGTAATCTGATAAAACAGCAGGTTTCAATGAGCCGTTTGGGTCAACAGAAGTTTGAGGTTATTGGTGCGGATGTTTGTTTAAATGGTGGTGACTAAAGGAAAGGGTTTCATTCCTTTTTTTTTTTTTTTTTTAGCATATTGACTTTAGTGAATTTCTAATATGAATGCTAACAGCAAAGCTGATGATTCCATGTGATTATTAAGGGAATTTAGTGTTTTTCTTTCTGGCTACAGGTTACCATTCTGCTCCTTCTTTCCTCGGGTCGCAGACATCTTTTCCTCCTCTGAACCCTACTTTTCATTTAGAGTATTTACTGGCCTTATAAAACGTTCTAAAACATATTTAATTTGTTCTCTAATGCTGGGAAAACCATCCACCTCCTGATTCACGTCATTTAAGTTTGCTTAAAATATAAACCACTAAAGTCCTCTTCAGCTGCGTTTTCCATTCCTCCTCTAAGATGTATTTTCTGTTGTTCTCTCCATCATGACAGCAGTGGTTTGGAATCAGGTTTTATTGCAGGAGAATGTTCAAGTACCTCTATGCAACGCTTGCATCTTGGTTTTATCGTGAGACGAGCACTTAGCTTGAATGTATGTTCATTTATGGATGTATATACTTTAAAAATAGACTCGATGTCTCACAGCGGAATGCCTTCTTGTGGGAAATGTAGGGGGGGGACCAATAATATAGAGCTGCTTTTATTGTTCGGCTTGGAGTTCTAAGTTGGTGCAGCGACTGAGCCAAGTGGGGGAAAATGGAGCGATTTTTGTTTTAAACTTCTGAAATGTTTCACTCACTAACATATCTGCTTCTCGTCTGAATGGTTGAATATGTAGCTACGGTAAAGCGGTGACACTTGAAACAGAAATGTCTAAACTTAGTCTCTTCCATGGTCCCGACGGACACATTCATTGTTTTCTAGTTCATTTGGGCATAAGAAGGAACCAAAGATGTTTCCTTTTTGTCTTTTGCAGTACTTTTAACTGACCCTATAAATATATATATATAATTTTTTTTGTTCAATAAAAAGCTGTGTATGTTTCGTTTAATGCAGTCTATCTTATGGCCTTAAGAAGTACCAGTTTTAAACATGAATTTAACACATGAATGTTTTCAGACTACATTGATTTCTAGAGGGATGAGGTAAGCATGTGGAGCTGTAGTCGATCTTAGAGTAAAAATGGATACGTGTTTAAAACAAAGGAGTGGTGGAACCGGTGAGTTGCTTCAAAACCTCGATTGGACGCAAGACAAGTGGAGATGAGAGAGAGCATTAAGAGAAGCCGATGGACCCTGAAGGAGGGAGAGGGAGCTGAAGATGGGACATAAATTGGGGGAGTTTGCTATTTAACAGGATATTATTAGCTTTAAATATTGATTTAACAGATTTACATTTAACAATCTAATTATATTCATATACAAGCATATTTAGGGTAATGAGAACCATTAGCTGTTGATTTTCTTCATCTACATCCGGTAGATGATTGGACCTGAATGGGACAAACTAACAAGTTGTGTTCTGTTTACCCGTCATCAAACGATTGGGAATGACTTTGGCTCTAATTTAAAACTCCCGTTCCTTTTTGGAAGGAAAAAAAGGACTATATGCTAAATTGAAGGGAATAGAGTAGAATTATCCTGTATCATGCAAATCTCTTGTTTCAGTAGCAAAGTGTTGGGGTTGGAAATATACAAATAATCACAAACAGATGGATATTGTATTACATATGCATATATAACAACCAAGGAGTTGATGGTTGGCAGCTGCTGTCCCACAGCAACAGAATAAGGGAAGGAAATTGGAAGGAGACTGTTATAGTGTTTTTAACAAATTTTAATCAATAATCTACATAACTAGTCTTAAAATAAATATGGATACACATGCAGTGGTAAAAGAAAGGGATTAGACGTGCATATTTGACACTGGGGGAGTGCCTCCTAGTGTTTAAGGCATTGTGTATGGAATCCAGAGGTTATGAGTTCAAAACCCACTGCCAAATGGCTCTCTGAGCAACACCCTTAACCACACTACTCCCCTGTGACAGTGTAATGAGAATAAAGCTGGAGGAAAAAAATCCAAAGATTATCATACAGTTTATGGTTTCCAGCATCTGCCCCCATAGATTGAATACAATGCAACACAAACTACATTTGAATGACTTTAAAGGAGCAGGGCAAACAATTTAACAGCTGAAAATGGACATTCATTATTCTGACTGTTCAAAGCATATTTGGCACATGGCTGAATTAAACCTGAAGCTAATTAGATTTACCTAAAAAATGTTTAAATATAGTATTTTCAAGGAAAACACTGAGCTGATTTTAATAGATGCCACAGTAACAAACAGCAACAGATAAAAGGGAAAGAGATCAGTGTTACTGGTTGCTATGACAGCAACCAATCAGGAAGCATATAAAATTAAAAAAGTATGTAAAGTGCCAATTGACATCACTATGAAAGAAAAATACTGATTAGTATCTAAAAGGGCAAATTCTGATAACAAGATAAGTGCAACTAAATAGTAAGATGATTGTTCTTATTCTTCTTGTGGGGTTTTATGGCGGTTGGCAAACAACTTAATGCGCATTACCGCCCCCTACTGGTGGGAACAGAAAGCAAGACTCATCCCCAGAAAAAAATAAAAATCATATTTTATTTAACCCAACATAATAAATCAAATTCGTCCCCATTATTTCTAATTAATCTTCAAGTTATCATCACTGCCAGTTTCTGATGGTCATACTCGTTTTTCCTTCATACTTTCAACCTTTTCCAGTTTAAATCTCTAACTTCCAGATACTTTTCTGCAGATTTCACAACTATTTACGTTTTTTTTTCGGCCCTAAGCACTACAATCGATCACTACTACCATGAAAAGCACAAAAATCTAAGATGACTTTTAGAATGACTTGCTTTAAAAGCAGCGCCCAAAGAAAGTGACGCTAGGGGGCGCACTGACGCCATCTTGATTATTGACACACAAGTAAGAAGCTACTTCCTTTTCCGCCGCTGCTCCGGCGCCTCGTACACGAGTGTTCATCTTTTCACTGTTGACGTGTGGATTTGTGAACAAACCGAACGGACTCATAGCGCTTAGCTGACGAAAATGGTGAGTATATTCATGAAAGAGCATATTCCGGTTTTCAGTTAATTATTACTTTGTAATTATCTGTTCTTTACCTTAAGGTCGGTTAGCTTAGCTTTAGCGCTAGCTGCTTTATGATACATGCTAGCTGGAGTGATTACAGTCTGATAATAATGTTATTAAACATAATAATAAACGCTACAGTCATACAGCGTGATATGTATCTGCTCTATAACACTCTCGCCGAGTTGTAAAGTTGTAATTTAAATACCAAACCGAGCTGTCTGCATCCTTAGAAACCCATCCTGCTGCAGGGCCATGAGAGGTCCATCACTCAGATAAAGTACAACAGAGAAGGAGACCTGCTGTTCTCTGTGGCCAAAGACACGGTGAGTTCAGAAACATCATCCACCATTAACCCAGCTAACGGTTAGGAGCTAACTGCCTCTATCTGCTCGTTTCATTTCCCACCTCAGGTAGCAAACGTCTGGTACTCAGTGAACGGGGAGAGGCTGGGTACCTACAATGGACACACAGGAGCTGTGTGGTGTGTGGACTGTGACTGTATCCTTCATCATCAGGACTCAGAGGCTCTGCTGGATCGTATTAGGGATTTGAAAGAGGAGGGGCGGCTTAGTGGTTAGGGCAGAGAGACTCTGTGTCTGCACCTTGATGCTCTATCTCATTCGCTTCCCTGAAAATAAATCACTCGGGACAAACTCTTTAAGTAACACTTCATTACTTATATGTATTAAATAACCAGGAGACATAACAGCATTTTCTGATGGTAAAATTATTGTAAGATCAGAGAAATCTCTTAGTTACAGAAGGCAGCTGCTCACCTCTCAGGAAGTGGCCCTGATTAACAGTTAAAAAGGCATTTTATACATCTCCAGTCTGCCACTTCATCATATTTTACATCATACATGTTGTCATGTGATTAGACATCCATGGCTCCAGCCTGAAGCCGGACGTACACAGCGTGATTTTCCAGTTGTTCGAGAATCTTTCAACCGGGCTGACTTTCAGCCTGGTCCTACGTCATGTAGTATACATGGGGGTAACGAGGGGCGATCAGCCTTTCACGGCCACCTCCTGATCAGGAATCGTCCATGTTTGATTTTCTCCCGACCGTCGTAGGCAAATCGCTCAGGGCGCAAACAAGTGTTCTTCTTTTTCTTCTTCCTCTCAGATGTAAACACAGCAGCATGGCAGGGATGCAATTAGTGAAATGCA